GTAGAAGCTGCATCACGGGCCAAGTCCCAAGCTACCGCTGCTATACAGGCGTGGTTGAAGACTGATGTTGGACCATCGGCATTTGAGAAATTCAGCTTAGTTGACGGTTGCGATGTTCACGACGCGGCTATATGGGTATGCTACTGGACCGAAGCAGCCAATTATAAGAAAAGCCTTGAGGCCCTGTCGCTTCCCTCGCTCTATTCTAAACTAGAACCCCCTGGTCGCACTTCTATCGGTCTCTGGCGCGAGGCGTTCACAACAGAAGTTTCGAGACTGGAGACCAACTACTCTGGCCTCAACTATCTCCCTGGTCTTGCGAGAATGCCCGACACGAGCACCACAGAGCATGATAACTCTGCGTATTGGGGCGCAGCACGCGATCGTATTCCCGACTCCGCACACGACCTCTTCCCTCCCTCCGCAGACGCAGCACTTGTAAAGGCCGAAGATGTCCCTCGCGGCCTTGGACAGTACCTCGTTGGAACGAATCTCGAGAACGTGGCTCATATAAGATCAGGCCAATACTGGGAGAATTGTGCCCAAGACGAAGCCGACGCCTACGAGAGGAAGCTCGAGCCGACCCTCCATGCCGGCCTTTCCTACTTATGGGAGAATCAACAGGAAACGGGTGCTCAAGGATTACGATACCTCAGGAACAAAGGACCTCTCGAAGGTTTAGACGACAACAGTCGTCCGCCGAAGGAAACCTGCGGTGCCGGCTTCTTTACCAGCCTTGAAGCGCTTGAAACATGGGCCAAAACACACCGTTCTCATCTAGCAATCTATCGCGGCGCGCTTTCTCATTACAAGGCATTTGAGGGTAGGAGGGAGTTACGGACATGGCATGAAGTTTCTGTGTTGAGAAGCGGTGATGCAAAATTTGAGTATCTCAATTGCGTCTCGAAAACTGGAGTCATCCAAAGTGTCCCGTTGGAAGTGAAGGATGATAGTGTGAACAACTTATAGTTTCTGTCCAGAGAATTGTTTCCATTATGCATTTATCGAAAGCTACCAGCTATTCCAGAGCTTTGCGTAATAGCCATGTGCTTGTATACTACCCAACCATGTGTCCGTTGTAGATCATTAGAGAAGATAGAATCTTCTGGCGCTTGAGGCTCTCAACGATACCGCTCTTTAACCATGATGTGTTAGGTTTCCGTTTGTTTGCCACCCAATAACGAACACAACAGTCAGCAAGGGGAACAAGTTAAATCTTACATAGATGGAATCAACTTGATCACGGCATCAGTTTATACAGACTAAATTGCCTCTCCCTGTAATCAACACGAACGTAGTTGAATCCTACCTGCTTCGTTCCTACCACTTTGCGGCTGTCGCTTGAGTAGCTGAGTCTTCGGGCATAGCCGTATTAGTACATACCCGCGGTCCGGAACCAAGCTTTTCCCAGGACAGCGGTTACGGCTAGCACGGCAGCTTCGTCTGACTAGGCGGACTCTTGGGACTTTGGAATGACTGAATAAAATAGAGAAGGTACTTTGCTGCAGCTATTAATCTAAAACCAGCCGAATCGGTAGATTCTTACTCGCATCCATTAACAACTACTAGTAGTAAGTGAGGGAGCTATATAGCTGCTGAAAAAAAAAAAAAAGGGGAAATTCCTAGATATTAGTAATTTAATAACTTAATACTATATCCAGGTATTATAATATAATAAACTTCAGTCTTATAGCTATAAGCCTTATACCTAGTTATATCTAAGGTTTAATATTAAAATAGCTATACTTATATTATATATAAGGTTTATTAATACTAAAGGCTATACCTAGTAGTAACTCTTTTATTAGTATAACTCCTTTTATAAACCTTAAGATACTGATTTTTATCTATAAAGGCTACTATTACTAGCCTGAATAAACTATATAGCTTAAGTCTATCTATACTTATAATAGTATTAATAATTTATAAATTACTATCTTTATTAACTTAAATAATCTAAGTACTATTAAAGTTATATATTACTACTTATAGATAAGCTAAGTACTATTACCACCTTTATTACTATATATACTACCTTTACTATTAGTTAAATTATTTAACTTCTCTGCTGGTATTAGTATACTCCAGTCTTTATAAAGACTTTAAATATCTAACTGAGCCTATACTTACTCTCGCCCGGTCTGCCTCTGAACCTTAATAATAGTTATCTCAGTCTAAGAAAATACCTATACTATAATAAAGAAGAGAACTAAATAGAGAAAGTAGGTACTTACTATAATATCTATTATTTAATCAGACTAACTAAATAATTAAACTCTAAAGACCTAGTCTAAGGTTAATACTAATAATTATAAGCTTATTAGACTAGTTAAAATAGTTAGAAAAATTAAAAATCTCTCTAAACTTAATCTTAAATAAACTATTAATCTCTTTTAACTTAGATCTTAGATTCTTAATTAAAATAACTCCTTTAAAAAGAAATATTTTAATTAGATTAATATTAAAGTAAAATATAGTAATTAGCTATCTTTTATTAAATATAAAAGTAATTTACTAAGATATAGTAATTATAATTACTACTACCTATAGCTACTTTATATAAAGATAGCTACTAAGGTTACCTAGGTTAGAAAAAATATAACTAGGGAGGAGAGGAGGAAGGAAGGCAGTAAGAGGGATAGATAGCTAGGCTAGCTAAATACAAGCCTACTATCTCTCTCAAACACACGAACATACACACATACACCTGTCCTCGTAGCCCCCCCCTAACAACTACTAATTTATCTTAATTTAGAACATACTAATAGGTCACACTTACATGATCCTCCGAGATGTCCAACTCTTCGATCGTAGCGATAAGAACATGCTGAGCCCACTGCTCTGAAATTTGGCGTTTCCTCTTGCCCTTTAACACCAATAGCCTTTTTATCGCCGTTCGTTAAACATGAAGGTCAACCAGTTCCTGCTTTTCTATAACTTTGCCACCGCCGTTTCGGCGGCTGGTTCCCACAGATGTAAGCCGCGACAGCCCATCGCAGCTTCTTCTGGGGCCGCGGCTGTGTCGGGAACAGCAACTGCTTCTAGCATGGCGACTGCTTCTACTGGTTCTAGTAAGGCGATTGCTTCTAGTACAGTGACTGTATCTGGAACAGCCACTGTTGCCCTCGACTCGGCGTCTGGTACAGCTGCTTTCATTGCCAACGGAGTCCATAACGGTATCCCACCAAATGGCTTCTCTGCTTATGTGAAGGGCACACCTCCTGCAAAGGCAGCGGTGCAAACACAAATCCCAGACCACTTCTTCACCGGTATTAAGCTGCAAAATGCTCGTGGTGGCCAAGGAAACCTCCCCAAGCCAAGTCGCGGATGGATGTACGGTAAGGAGGAGTACAAGGTATATAATCAACGCGTACCACTCCCGCCCTCTCTGCTTCTGGCTAATATGAGTGCGCTGCTTCTGTATAGAACCGTTTTCGTGCCTTTCATTCCGATTACCTGACCACCCGCAAATTTGGTGGAAATTATACCTTGATGCTTGGAAACCTCTTTGGGCAACGCAACAGTACTTCTCCACACCCTGGAGATGATGGAGATTGGGCATCATGGGATGAGTTCGTCACAACAATTTGCTCAGATCTTGTCGCGAATAATATCTTGGATGGCCTTGACATTGAGGTCTGGAATGAGCCTGATATTCAGTTTTACAACTATACACCTTGGCTACAGGTTTGGGGCAGAGCGTTCTACCAACTCAAGTACGTTGGACTAGTTGGCATTCGCGCCGAGTGATCGTACGGCTAATCATTTCTTGCCCTTCTAGAGCAAAGCTCCCGTCAAAGGTTCGGGTTGTCGGTCCTGGACTCGCCAAACCCCCAGCGGATACCGCCTATTGGACTAAATGGCTGGACTTCATCCAAAAGAATGGGAGTGTCCCCGACGCCTACACCTACCACCACTTGCTTACCAGGACCGATCCAGCCATAAGTTATCCTATCTTCCTGAAGCAACTTTCAAGCCGACATCTCCCAGTGTGCCCGGTCTACGTAAACGAATTCGGAGGACCCGCTGAGCAGAAGCCCTCCTATGACGCATGGTTCATTTCTCGGTTCGAACGGCTCCATCTCTGGGCTGCCCGGGCTAACCGGGAAAGCACAGCAGAGACCACGAATGACTATCTAGCAAATACTCTCGCGAAGAAGGGTGACACCTATAGCCCTACAGGTTCATGGTGGGTTATGGAATATTACGCAAACATGACTGGGACGCGCCTCCGCACAACCCCGTCCAAAGACGGCGATTTCGATGTCTTTGCCGTCAGCTCTGGCAAAGGAGTCGGGAGTACTAAGATCCTAGCTGGTTCGCATGGCACTATCAATCCTTACCGAGTTGCGGTCACCAATATCTCGTCCAAGGGGTATCCATCTTCCGGGGAAATCGATGTGACCATTAAAGAGTTCTCTTGGAATGGCTTGCATGGAGCCACCCCGTCGCCAAAGATACATTCGAGAACCAAAACCCAAGTCAAGAACGACCAGGTCAGTATTAATATTTGGCTTATGATTAAACATTTGGCACTGCTAACATGGAGTTAGATATTTGTAAATATCAAACCATCCAACGGCTCATTTGCTTATGCCTTTGAGTTTTAAACCCCCATTAGAAAGAATGTTTGATGGCATTAGCCCAAAATATGTTATAGGTTTATGGCGCCTTATTTATAAAACTGTTATCCAAGGCTTCTCAAGAAAACCATCTTGTATTATCAATAGAATATTAGATTTTCTTCACTTTCATTATACCATATACTACGTATATTAGCTTTAAGTTGGCAACAATTGGAACGTGTTCATATATATTGTTGGGCCTTACGTTCATCTCTTGATATTTTCTAATCTCTTTCCTGCGAATCATAGTATTGAACCCTCATGTGTGATTCTCAAACCAACAATTTCAAGGACACCAAATGCCTAGCTATCTACATCAGCATCGCACAAAAAGGTGCTTCGCCTAAGTAACAAACAGTATATTCCAGTAAGGCACTAAGCGAGCAAAGCGGTATTGGAAGCCTCCAGCAATTCCCAGTCTATCTTGGGACCATTGAAGCTCCTTTTCCCATGAACAAACCATAAAATGATCACGATAGAAAACAAGCCCATCATAACAACGCTTGTGTAGTTCATGGATTGGATAGTGACTGGGATAGCCGGCGGCATGCATACTAGAACCCCCAGTAATACAATGAACAGTATTGAAAAGAGGTTACAAAAGTAGCCAAGATAACCAAGTCGTAGATATCGAGTTGGCAGAGTCTTTTCCCTGCCCTGGAATAGGAGGATCCCCTGAGGGACTGCGTATGTAATGTTGAGAAATAAGACGGCGGATGTAATAATCGAGTTGAAGGCGGTTGTGGATGCCAAGTAAAGCAATCCGTAGAGGGTGAAAAAAATGAAGGCAGCGATGGTGGTGCGTAGTGGGAGCTCCATTTTCGGATTGATGTGAGCGAAATACTTGGGAAAGGGTACGCCGTTCTAATTCAATGACGCATATTAATCATCCAAATACCTTCAGGAAGGAGATAAAGCAAGGGGATAAGGAGAGGGAAGTCTTACGTCTCGGGCAAACGCCCAGGCAAGTCTACCGTCAGTGACCCACTGGGAAGGGAGGCAAGCTGATTATGTCAGTCTCAAGATTCGTTTAGGATGTATGAATCTAGTCTGTGATAGACTTACTGAAGTAAACGAGTAATAATACAGAAACCAGAAACATTGTGACACTCTTGCTACCAGTTCTACACAATGTCAATGATCTGATTCTCCACTGGGACATCGCAAACTTACGCTTGATATACAAGCTCCATGCTAGGCAAAGGAGATGCAATTATGGCATCTAAGTCTTTGACGAAAAGCAACAGAGCGACCATCAGTGGAAAACAAGTAACCATGCCAATAATCATAGTCATGATCATAACTTGAGGCACCCGCCGTCCGGGCTGCTCCATTTCCTCGCTGATATGGATGGCTGAATAGATTTCAGTTGGCGCTTGGCACTTTTGGATTTCAAGCATTGGCTGGGAGTAGTTATCTTACCACCATCAGTCGCCCCAAAGGCATACATGGCATTCGCTATTCCAAGAAGCCATGCTGTGCTCGAGCTCCACCCGCTCGTGCCAAAACCGCCATCAGTGAGAAAAGAACTGTCATTTACAGTGGAATGCATGCCAGTTGATACAAAGAGAAATAAGAGAAATCCGATTATCGATGCCCACAAAGCGAACTGGACCACCCATGCGAGATGCTTCGATGCAAATATCACTGGAGTCACTGGGGGCTTGTTAATACGATAATGCTAGAAGTGCTAAACTCTTAAACGAGAACCTTCTTACCTGTGGATAGGCCAGTTGCGACGTAAATAAGATATACTTGCCACTGAGAGGCTACAAAATCCGGAATCCAGAAGTTGATGACACCAGAAAGAGTTATGGCGAACAGCGATACGCCCGAGCACCTGACAAGAACACAAATTCAGCACATATACACTACATCAGAATGTGAATTATGAAAGAACAATTGCTTCATGTCAATGCGATGACAGCAATATAATGGGCAACGGTGGCTTACGTGACAATCCACCATGCGATGACTGATAGCCAGCCGATCACGAACGCAGTGAACCTTTTCGAATTCTTGGGGGCGAGTATATAACAGAAGTGGTACTGGCCACCGCTGGACTGCGAGAGATTGTTAATGAAGATGATTAACGGGTTTCCGGAGTACATTGAGGCGTCGTTACCGGGAACGCGGAAGCTATTTCGCTTAAGCCCAACGTGACAATGAACTGTGCGAAAAAGGCCACAATGAGTCCAAAGATTGCAGACTGGGGTCCGCCGTAGATGAGATTCTGGCCGAAACAGCTCTATTCCGGTTGAGTAAGTTAGCTGGTCGCTCCGCGGGACTCTTCTCATCTTACAAGATAGCCAACCCATGAGTTGGTGATAGAGAAACCGAGACCAAGTGCTGAGAGCCAGTTAAATTGTCGTCTCATTGCTGCCTCGTGGCCGTTGGCTCGAAGGATAGCATCGTCTATGTTGGCATAACGGCCGGTGATGCCTTCTGTGATGCTTTCGCGACTCTCGTCGCTTTTCTCTTTTCCATTGACATCTCTGGGCTTCTGATGCTCCATTTTATTATGCTTTTGGGTCTTTTCAGCTTCGATGGAGAAGTGACTGCGAAGGAACGCTCAAGAGGTGTGAGATCAACCTCATAAACAGAGGGCGATCAACGCCATCTTAACTTCCAAACGTTCACGAGTAGGTATAACGTGTCAATGCATTCCAATGCTGCGTTGTCTCAGCATCCAATGAAACCACCACATATTTGCTAAGCTGCTTTTGGAGGATGTGGAAGATGAGAGGTTAAAACTACAAGTGCGGGTCGCTCAGTCGAGGTGAAACCTTCCTAGTGAGGTAGTCCGTTCAGTTCCAAAACGCGGGTCAGCCATGGTCACGTTTCTTCTCTCTGCAACTTGATATAAAATTACAACAAGACAACACCCTCATGTGGGATTAGTGGACAGGGAGTCCCAGTACATAATCATGCACACCTTGTCTAGCTCCCGTGGCGCGTGAGCCGAGGATGCGGGGAAGTTGGTTGTATCTCCATTTTGGGAAGAAGTCTCAGCTGATGCCCCAGCGATGACGCTGTCGTTGCAACCTTCCCCTCGAGCTTGTTTCGTTAGTTGCACCAGGTTGAGAGATAAGCGTTCTCATGTGAAATTTCAATAAGAAGTTTGTGATCCAATGAAGAGGCAATGATTTATCTTCACCTAATAGCTTGAAGCTTCTCCGTCACTCAACAGTTTTATCTCTTACCAATTGTTGACCAAAGTCATGGCTCCTCTATCCAACTACGGGCCGGAGGTCCAGCGCGTATCTGCTGAGACACCCGTGGAGGATATCATCTATCTTCTCAAGAGGGATGGCGGTGTCTTCATACGAGGCTTAATCAACGTTGAAGATGTGGATAAGGCCTACGATGAGTGCCGCCATCGTCTAGAAAATGATGTGGAATGGAACGGATCCTTCTTTCCAAGTGGGCAATTCCTAGAATATCTGACAACTAAATGATACAGAAGTGCTAACACTCCTGGAAGAGGAAACTCAGCGTGCTCCGGGCCTTATCGGCCTTAGTCCTACCTATGCCAAAACACAAATGATGAATCCAATATACCAAGAAGTGTGCGATCACTTTCTTACAACTCGAAGTTGGTTTTGGTGGGGTAATGAAAAGAAAGAATCCGTCTCAAAACCTTATGTGCACTCCTGCGTGGCAATGCGAATTCGGCCAGGGGGCAAAGCGCAACCATTGCATCGAGACGACTACATTAGCCACAACCATCATCAGGAGATCGACTCCTGGGACGATGAGCGTGATAAAAACCGGGAGACAGCGGTTGGTTTATTCGTCGCTGGAAGCAAGGTAACGAAGGAAAATGGAGGAACCCAGTTCATCCCACGTAGCCATCTATGGTATGCTTTATCCTGCCATTCTGTGATAATGAGAACAACTGACACAACTGCGTATAGGGGAACCGATCGAACTAACCCCCCTGATGTCAACGACTGCATCTTTGCGGAAATGGAGAAAGGCGACGGCTTTCTCATGCTTGCCTCGGCCTATCACGGGGGCGGTAACAATGTGACGGCGGATGAAGAGCGCATGGTTTTCGCCACATTCGCAATTCGAGGCTACCTCCGCCAAGAGGAAAACCAATTTCTCGCTATATCGCAGGACATCACAAAGGGATATGATCGCCCCATCCAGGCGTTTATGGGATATTCGATGAGTGATCCAGCTTGCGGCTGGGTGGAAGAAATGGATCCTATTTATGTTTTGCATCCAGAACTTAAAAAAGATGCTAAGCCCAGTGATTTCTAAAACCTATCTGGAATCAGCAATTTATTTCTACTGAGCCTGGGTTTCTTTTGCCAATCTTATTCTGTTTTAAGTAGTCACAATTCAAGCTTTGTTTTGCACACGGTCGCTAAGCTTCTACATTGGTTCCTTTTCAATCAGCCTGAACAAGAATTGTCTATTTTGTATAGCCAGCCAATACACTCAGGGTCGAAACATGCTAGAAGGAGACACCTTTACGTCTTGAGTTAAAAATGACCTCTACCCTAGCAATTATCCCGTGTTAAATGAATGGTGTGTATTATGGGTCTAAAGCAACTCTTTGTAACATACATGTCCTATTGGTCTAGCTGAGACAAGAACCAGTTGAAGTTGCTTCCCCAAGACTACTGCGACGCATGCGCCCAACTTGTTATAACCGAAAAGCACTTTTCACTCGGCGGAACCGTGATAGTCATCCATGGAGTTAAGTTCTGTCGAAGTAGGAGGAAGGGATTTGGATCGAAAGACATGCTTCGTTTCACAACGCAAGCACCCAGCATTTATTTGTCTGATGTTCCGAAGATGAACAGCGCCGCTACCCTCATTCATTCTGATAGATTTTCATGGAGATGCTCCTCTTCATTTAATACTTGGAAGACAAACAAGACTCAGGCCTTCATATGCCATACTTTAATTATACAAGCCGCCATTGGCACAAAGCGTGCCACCGGTGGACCATGCGGCGTCTGCTGAACATAGGAACGCCACAAGCGGCGCAATATCAGAGGGCTCACCAATACGTGCGGCTGCCGGAGTCGATTCTATTTGAGGACGCATGTCTTCCCGGAATTGTTCATCACTCTCGTTCCATTGATCTAGCGAGGTAGGCGGAGGTTAGCATTTCATTCCTTCTAGGTTTCAGAAGCAAACTTTCAGCATAGGAAACATACCTGTTGCAACTGGACCTGGGTTCACGCAGTTAACGGTGATTCCATGAGATTGACCGAGCTCCTTGGCCCAAACGCGAGCAAGTGATTCATTAGCAGCTTTAGTAGCACCATAAACCGTTTGGCCAGCGACACCCAGCCGAGCAGCGGCCGATGAGACGAAGACGATACGGCCACCTCTGGGGAAATAAGGGAGCATAGCCTGAGTCAGAAAGATTGGCCCCTTCACATTGGTGTCAAAATGGCTGAGGTACAGGTCTTCCGTAACTTGGTCGAGGTTTGCATCTACTCCAAGCCCCGCGCTTGAATTTAAGTCGCAAAGTTAGGAACCAAGGTGGAGAACGACGCAGTATAGAAAGATACCAACTTGTGAATCAACAGATCAATCTTGCCCGACTGACTGAGATGTAGTGCAGAACTGATGAGTTTGGGTATCTCGCTGATTTTGGTGATATTCGCCTGGCAAGTCACGGCGTTGCTTCCATTTTCCTTGATCGACTTGGCAACACTTTCAGCCCGCTCGCGGCTGCCTTCTGACACGAAGTTAACAACCACATTGGCACCGCGTTGGCCAAGCTGAGTAGCTATGGATGCTCCAATCCCTCTATTGCACCACATGATAAGTCTTCAGTCAGTCATGACGCTCTTTCATGGACAGGCAAGCGATTGCCACGCAGAAGCGGACCGCATAAACATACCGTGAGGCTCCAGTCACAATGGCGGTCTTTCCAGTTAGATCCACTCCAGAAAAGTTGACCATCTTGAAGACAATGAGATGTTACCTAAAGGTTCCAACCTAGATTGTGAAAATTGGTGACGTCTTCCCTACTAAAGGCTACATATCAGATGCAATTTATGTCACATAAAGTCGTATCAGCCAAGTATTTATGATTCTTGGAGACCTTCCATGTTACTTCAGACCCCCTGCAAGTACTCAGATAGAAGCGCCGAGCCCGTTTTGTAGCTGGGAGTATTGCCAAATCAGGCAATAGATACCACCTCGATCGTAACCAGTCCAATGAGTGCCCATTTGTGATAGAATTTCCTAAATCACGCAACCAACAAGCATCGAAGGTTACCTCGGGGCACTGAACGGCGGATAAGCCGTAAGTGACTAACCATATGTCAGAGCTCATGCATAAACCAACCAAACCTCATCGGCACCAGCTGACCGTTACCAATGATCGCACCCTACGGCAGTTGCATAATGACTAACGAACGGCCAACTAAACCTACCTATTCTCGGGTTGCCAGTACTTCCGCATCCATTAGTAGATCCGCTTTGCAGAAGCCAAGATATGAGCGAAAATACATTCTTCAATGACTTCTCTAGTTCAGAGGGGCGATTGGACCAGGACATCCGACAGAAATGTAATATAAACTATGATGGTATTGCCTACTGCCTCTGATATTATTCTAGCTTTTATACATGCAATCAAAGCGCTACGAACTTTGTCTACTTACGTCTCACACTGCACCATTCTTATGTTCCAAGGAGGCAGGATTGCTTCGTACAGAGATAGAGTTACCTGCATATTTTACTTGAATATCAACCTTACTCATCAGCTGCCGCCGTTGGTCGTCCGCAATGGGGCTCTCTACTCCTCATCCTCTTGATCCTTTGACGGCACTCGAAGTGAGCCAGACGTCTGCAATCATAAAGGCAAGTTTGTGGAATGGATCCAGCGGGATTCAATTTAAGGTTATTGATCTCGCCGAGCCGCCCAAGGATCTCGTTCTCGACTACTTGCATAATGCTGCACCAGCGCCCCCTCGAAAAGCTCGAGTGTACTACCACGTCAAAAACAACACCTCACTCAAACGATCAATCGTCAACATAACCACACAAGCAGTCGAGAGAGATGAAGAGCTCCCTGGGGTTCAAGGCCCCGTCGACTGGACTGAGTATGCGGCAGTAAACGACGCATGCAACGCTCACCCAGAAGTGCTCGCAGAAGTTGCGAAACTCAAACTCCCCAAAAAGTGACTTGGTTCCTTGTCCTCTGTTTCCCATTGCATGTGGATGAAAGTGATTCGCTGACCACACGCTATTTTCAGCATGAGAGTCGTTAACGATCCTTGGGCTTACGGAACAGATGACTCTTCTGAGGAGCGTCGGCTGTTCCAGTGCTACATGTATGCGGCAATGAACGACGACCCGCAGGCGAATCACTACTCTATTCCCCTCCCCCTGGCGCCTATTTTTGATGCCCATACCCTCGAGCTTGTTCACTTGGAGAAACTACCTCTGGGTACTGACTCTACTCTGGATAACCCAACACAGCCTTGGGAGCCCGCCCAGGCGGTCGAGTACAGCGCCCAGCTACTAGGCGATAACGCCCTACGTCAAGACCTCAAGCCTCTCCAAGTCTTGCAGCTACGGGGGCCTTCGTTTGAGGTCAACAGCCGTGCAGTATCATGGCAAAAGTGGAAGTTCCAACTAGGCTGGAATCTCAGAGAAGGTCCTGTACTACACGATGTACGCTACGACAACCGGTCGCTGTTCTATCGTGTCTCCATGAGTGAAATGACAGTTCCATACGGCGACCCGCGCTCCCCTTACCACCGCAAGCAAGCGTTCGACCTTGGTGATTCGGGTTTCGGCCTCACCTCAAACAGCCTTGAGCTCGGGTGCGACTGTCTGGGCCACATCGCATACTTCGATGGCATTCGCAACACTGCGAACGGAGATCCAGTGGTCATGCGCAACGTCGTTTGCATGCACGAAGTCGACGATGGCATCGGGTGGAAGCATACCAACTGGCGAAACGGAGGTGCCAGCGTGGTCCGAGACCGACAGCTGGTTATTCAGTGCACTGCAACGGTGGCTAACTACGAGTACATCCTCGCCTTCGTGCTGGATCAAGCCGCCAACCTGCACATCGAGGTGCGTGCCACTGGTATTGTGTCCACGATGCCAATTCGGCAGGGTCTGCAAGTGCCTTGGGGCACTGTCGTGGCCCCCGGAGTGCTGGCTGCAAATCACCAACATCTCTTCTGCGTCCGTATCGACCCGAACCTTGATGCGAACCGCAAGAACACCATCGTCTACGACGATTGCATACCGGTGCGGAATGAGCCAGACTTAGACCCCTTCGGTTGCGCCTTTCGCGTCAAACGTACACCAATTACCAGGCCAGGAGGTTATGATCTAGATCTCACAAAGAATCGAGTTTACTCGATCATCAACGAGTCCCGCACCAACTCTGTGTCTGGAAAGTCTCATGGATACAAGTTGCATGCCATCCCAAGCCAGATGCTCATGATGGATACACACACATTCAATCATCGCCGTGGCGTCTTTGCCTCGCGGCCAATCTGGGTCACCCCTTACCGAGATGATGAGCTTTGGGCTGCAGGCGAGTTCACCAACCAGAGCCGTGAGGATACCGGGCTGGCTGCTTATGCCGCCGGTGATGAGAATGTCCAGAATGAGGACGTTGTATTGTGGCACTCATTCGGTATCACTCATGTCACGCGACCAGAAGGTAAGAATTCGAGTTCACTTCTCCTGAAAAGATACTAATGGCAGCTATAACATCTAGACTTCCCTGTCATGCCCGTGGAGAAAATGTCGATGGCGTTGAAACCCACAAGCTTCTTTGACTTGAATCCGGCCAATGACGTGCCACGCTCATCTCAAACTATCAATAAATCCACGCTACATGGCTCGACCATCAAGGACGATACCTCGGGTTCTTGCTGTGCAAACAATAGCTCCGGCGCTAAGCTTTAGAAAGGGCATATCCAAACCAATCCCGTAAAGGAAGATAGGCAAAAGGCATATTGCATATTCCACATACATATGTACGTAATAAGACAATGGAAGTCAGACAAATACTGCCACCAGAATCTTGGAAATGAGACGGTGTTGTGATGATGCGTTGAGTTGGGGCCAATCTATGCTGAATCGTTTATTGCTTTGGGGTTAGAAGAATAAATATGCGTGCTGTTTCTTGATAGTTGAGGAGCAGGTCTGTCGATTGGGGGTTAGCAACCCATCTTCGAAGTACGATCAGGACGTGGAGTCTCACATATTCCATCCATGGGACGTTTGGCTGGCTGTGTGTATTGGCCTTCCTCTCCTCCCACACCCGCTGTAGCACATCAGTCATGGCCTGATGCTTGAATCCAGTTGAACGCTCAACTTCTTCGATGCAATATTTGACGTAATGTATCTGGTGCGGGGAGCTTGTGTCCGCGCCGGCGAGGAACAAGGGGAACAGCAAGCGCTTGTAGAATGGAGCTACGGTCGAAACGCTGGCGAAGGCATCAAGAATTGCCACTACGGAGCCTTGTATCCGGGCGTCTTCACACCGCACCGCGAATGTATCGGGCCATCGAAGCACCCGTAGGAGACACGCATGTCGGAAGGCATCCGCGACTGGTTTCCAATGGGCGTGCGCAGTGGGATATACTGCTTGCTCCCGGTCCCACTCACGAAAGAACTTTTCAGCATCTTGTAAGATGATCTTGAAATTAGGCAATGATAGAATTCCCGCCTGGAAGCCTTTGCCGGCGTCGATCACTTGTGCTATCCGATAGAAGATGTCGGGAGGACATCCAACCAGAACATGTAGGCTTGAACTTCCGTGGTGCCGAACGATGCTGCGGACATCCTCAGAGAACGCCAACTTCTCGGCACCGCTAAACCCACGCAGCACGTCCAGCCTTTTCCCACCGATTAGTTAGATATTCTGAAAGGTGATTATGTGCCTATTCACACACCATGCTAATGCTGCTAGGAAGAACATGATGGCCGGAGATCGACTGGAGAAATCCTCCGATTTCGCTAATCTTGCACATAGGAAGGAGATTCCATCAAGATGAGCACCGTGGGACGATATTCCCGATTCACAAATCTGCATCATAAATCAGCTTCAGAATAACCCATGAGGAGTTTCCACTTTTGAGTCACATCATGGAAGACTAGCAGAAGAACAGTGGCGAATGTAGCTTCCTCGTCGCTTCTACTCAGCTGGTGTGCCTCCTCTTTGGCAAGAAGGGCGACGAGCCCATGGAGAGCAGAAGCCCGATGCTTCAATGACGCCGTTGTCATCGGTGATCCACCGTCGCAAAGGGATATATGACACGCGGTTAGTCCAAGTAAGGCATGCAGAACAACCTCATGATGATATGCAAGAGGTAAAACGTGGGAACGAAAGGGGTTTTCGACACCGTCAACCACTATTGCAAGCGCCTCGCTGAGGACACTCTCAACTACCACCAAAATTTTAGCTCACAGGCCTGGGTCTTCGATACATGATCTCGATTGACTTCTTACAGTGGACAAGGAGAATCTGAGTCTCCTCCTCCATCAGGATGTCATCAATCGCAGAGCCGGCGTCCGAGATATTTAATGAGGGACTGGAGGTTGGAAGCACCTGCGGGCTGTCCTGGTAATCGTCTTCCCAGCTCTGCTCGACTGAAACCGCATTTTGAACTGGGATATTTCCTGTCTGTACGTCAGATTCGCCCGTTGTTGGCGAGACGGATGAAGTGATAAACTGCTCATTAGGACGCTCCAGTTGAGGCTCATCCGAGCCCGAAAGAAATAAGTGTACTTCCTCGTCACAAGGTTCATGCCGAGGCTCTTCCGCCCCTGATACAAACTCGCAGAACTGATATCTCGGAGGATAGCCATCGCACCGGAGGCCTTTCGATTGGCACCTATTGCAGAATGGCCTTGCCCTGTCGCATTTGCGGCACTTCCTTCGGCAGGTCCCACATGCAGGATCTTAGCGACAACACATACAATAATTAGCGATCATGCCAGAGATAAGTTTACTGAGGGTTAATACCTCTCCGGATTGAGCGTGGCCCTCGGGCAGGCATTTATGCACGTGTTGGATTGATATCTCTCTATGGTTGGAGAAGGCGAAGCCCCAGACACTCAAGAACGGGTCTAGCCGAGATATTTATCTGATCAGCACCAGGGCTAAAGGCGGGTTAATAAAGACGGGTTACAGTGGAGTCTAACTTATTACTCAAGGAGCTATTCATTGTACCTATGTTTATATGTCGGGTCTAGCATCTTCTTTGCTGTCTTTACTTTGTACTCGAACTCCCTCGTCCGTACTTACAGAGCACAGAGTAAAAAACGGAACGACAGCAGGGCGGTTACGTTTAGTCTGATGGCGGATAAGCCGTATCGGCGAATTGAGAGTCCCTGTGTCGCAGGCACGAGCCTACTTACCTATGCACCAATGGCCAAAGCCGTGTGCATGATTGGGAGAGGAGATCATAGCGATAGTGCCTCGCTGGTGGATTCTCTGAGACCAACGTCCTCTGCTGAGAAGAAATGGAGGATATTACCTACAGCCTGGCTAGATAAAACTACTACCAGCACTCAAAAGGAGGGGTTTGTGCAGGAATGCAAAGGGTGGAGTCACAGCGGATCTTGGGCGTGCGTAGTAGAGATCACATCCGCGGTAAACAGACGCGGTAAGCACAGACGCGGCAATAAACACAGACGCGATTTTCTAGCACGATCGCGGGGCGTCGCAAAGCCACACGAAGCAATCGTGGAGCATCTCGATCAGTGTGGCTCGTGTGGCTGTCTTGCCCTGGCAGGGGTCTCATGTGAAGTGACTGTATTCAGTGATAGCGTATGTATTTCACGGATTTTGGAGTCTAATCTCCGCGTAGCGAGACAACAGCTAGATGCAATAGAATGTAAGCAGGCAGTTTGTAGTGTGATGCGGCGGTCGTGTTCAGATCAATCCTAATCATGTCGCCTCCGGTAGTGGTGTACATGGAACCTTTTTCGGACATTCAATCCAGTAATCTTCTCTCACTTGTTTTTTAATCCAATCCATAGTAATGATCTTATAGTTTTGAGCAGTTTATACCTGCCAATTTAAAGATACTCTTTATTCTGTGATTCTCATATGCTAATCTTGAATATGCTGATCTATAGGGTAGCCATGTCTAGCATCGGGAATGCTTATCCATCTCACTTCGTCCATTTCTTCCAGGGGTTGGGTTAGTTCATCGTGTCAATTGGGACTAGTTTCGGGACTACTTTCATAAGATCTGCAGAGACCTTCCCAATAATCATAAGATTGGGGTAACATCGGTCTTCATATTTGGCCTGCGTTGCTTTGATACGCCACGGAAAACACCATCGTGTGCTACATGTCATATCCGAGACTTAAAATAATTGGTCAAATCAGCATAAAGTACGGGTCTTGTCTTACATACCGATAAGGGCATTCGGACAGCTTACGCCACGTCTTAGATTTGGTCAGCATGTATCATTTGTTGTGCGGTAACCATGTGTCTTGGGGTTACATGCCATTGAGGCGGGGTTAAAAGCATATTTAACACAGGCCTCGCACTCTCATATCTCCCTGATCTACTCTTGTTTCATATTCCGGAGATCTTTGTCGAAATGGAACCCAGCAGCGATTTGAAGTCGGGAAAAGCACCCCCAACTGAATCAATCGAGTTCGCGGAAACGCAGGCCTTTGATCAACATGCAACTAAGAAACTCTTGAGGAAGTTGGACTGGCATATCATTCCTTTTATGAGCCTGATCTATTTGTAAGCTGTAGTTACATTTCTTTTACATTGCCGAAGGTACCAATCTACTATGTGATGTAGCGTACTGACTGGTGCCAAGGCTATGCTTTCTTGATCGAACGAACATTGGGAACGCCAGACTAGACCATCTGGAACAGGACCTCGGACTACAAGGCATCCAGTACAATGATTGTCTCGCTATTCTATTTCCGTTCTATATCGCCGCCGAGATTCCGAGTAATATGATGATGAAACGGCTTAGGCCATCGATTTGGCTGACCTTCATCATGGTATGTTGGTCTGCATCAATGATTGGACAAGGCTTTGTGAAAGACTATAAAGGACTCATGGCGACCCGTGTATTCCTTGGTGTATTTGAAGGAGGTTTATTCCCTGGCGTCAATTATTACATCACACAATGGTAAGTGCTTACATTGACAACTGCTACTTTTCCTGCTTTCCTTCTTTTCCAATTTTTTTTCAGAAGGCTCTGACAAAGATTTGATAGGTACTGCAAAGCCGAATGTGGTTTTAGAATGGCCTTGTTCTTCTCTGCAGCAACGCTGGCTGGCGCTTTTGGTGGCATCCTAGCACGAGGCATTGCCGAGATGCATGGAGTCGGTGGTCTTTCAGCCTGGGCATGGATCTTCATCCTCGAAGGCCTTTTGAGTATCCTGGTCTCCTTTACAGCTTACTGGGCTATCTATGACTATCCTGCCACGTAAGATAAATACTTGAAAACTCAAAATAGCATTGACTGATATGATAGTTAGGGCACGATTTCTCAGCGAAAATGAGCGAACCGAGGTTGAAAGACGCCTGCAAGAAGACTCCGGCCACCTGTCCAATGAGTTTAACGTAAAATATGTCTGGCATGCAATTAAGGACTGGAAGATCTATATCCACATGCTCATCTGCATGGCGGGCTTCTGCCCCATCTACTCAATTGCATTGTTCTTGCCCACCATCATCAAGAACATGGGGTACACCGCAAACAATGCTCAACTCATGTCGGTGCCACCATACTGCTTTGCTTGTATCTTTACGATCGCCGCAAGTTGGTATGCAGACCGCGTCAGACAGCGCGGAATCTTTTTGATGGGCTTCCAGCTAGTTGGTATCCTAGGGTTCGGTCTGTTAGTCGGCACGAGTCGATCTTCTACACAGTATGCCGGTACTATTTTTGCCGCCATCGGTAAGACTTCAGCGACATGACCTTAAACATAGGACAAGATGTTGACTTGAGACTAGGGATATATCCTCAAATACCACTTGGACTGGCTTGGAACAGCAGCAACATCGGCGGCAGCCTAAAGCGAGGAACTGGAATAGCCATGCAAGTCATGGGCGGTAACTGCGGCGGTATCATCGCGTCATACGTTTACCTTTCTCGAGATGGGCCGCGTTATGTGATTGGTCACAGTATCCTCATTGGCTTCGTCAGGTATGAGACCTTTCAAATGCGCGCTTCGCTATTTAAGTCTGCTAACTTCCTATAGCATGGCCTTCTTTTTGAGTTTATTCATGACGATTTGGTGTAGGAGGGAAAATGCTCGTCGAGATGCAGTATCTAGCGAGGCTGGTGTACGAAATCTAACAGACGAGCAAAAGGCACAGGAAGCCGAGCTTGCTGATAACGCACCATGGTTCAGATACACACCATAAGTCAGGCTCTTGAACTCGAAATTAAATGTTTGGGTTAGAGCCGTTTGATGTCGGGCGTTATATAGATGATTGATTAGCAGGCGACTAACGTAAACGGTGGCGCCGTCACCTTCTCCTGGAGCGAGACGGACTATTAGAGGACATCCGCATCTGCTAATCTTACAACTAAGGCGGTTGTAAGGATTACTGAATGTTGTATCGCTTAATTTTCAGAGCAGCATTGGATAGATCTTAGGCCATTTATACTGTGGGTAAGACATGCCAGATCTCATTTATGATAAAGTGTTCTGAAGGCCCATCTACTATGGGTTGATGCATATTGTTTTCCTTGTTTGCTTGTTATTCTAGGATAGGTTCTTTCTATTTCTCCTTGATGGATCCTCTTCATCTACGGTTTGTGAATGCTCTCGTTGGAATGATCATTGTGAGACATTGTTCTGCCCTGTAGACTGTCTCCCCAAACGTGCAAATGCAGCGACACACCCGAGCATAGTCAACAGTCATTTGCGCAGTACCCTCTTTACTTGTGGGTATTCCTTTCCCATCTGCAGAATATGAATTAGTACCAACCCATAGATAGTGATAATGAAACTTACATGTTAAGGAACAGTTTCCATAAGATTGAAAAGAGAATGCCCTGGAGGCCGTTGCAGAGAATACGCGTAGGTAACCCTCGTCCCAATAGTCCAGTTATACCGTCTGCTCGAACAACCGCTCGCGCCGCCGCAGCTAGACTTGTTTAGTCTTGGCTTATCAGAATCGGGAAGAATTGACTTACAATATGAGACTTGCTTGTCGTCAACTTGACGGTATGTTTTTATGACTCGTAGGGAGTTGGAGACGGAATCAGAGACAATGGAAGCAACGAATCCAATAAAGGCGAGACGGAGCAGCCAGAGCAGGATATGGCCCTTCTCAGGCTCCTTGATTAGCTCAGTCAAAAGGTTGTACTGGATTCTGTCAGATAAACTCTATGCATTCCCAATTATAGGAGGAGACTTACCGTTGCAAACCAAGGATAGTGTCCGACAAAGGTAGCGGCAGCCGTAGCAAAAGCTCCCCACCACAATGTTCCCACACCATGCTGCTTGATCCTTTGGCGGAGAAGAGCAACCCCCCCAGAGCCTTGGGCCTGCAAAGTCGTTTTCAATGTGTCGATCGGTGTCAAAACCATACGGAATGCCGCAGCGCTGTGTTTACATGTAAGTCTAAAATGCCTGCAATTTCTGGACTCTAAGCGGTCTCTCACGCAAGCGAGGCAAATATAGTCTTGGCAAGCGACGGAAGGTCCTTCAGGTACGGGTTGGATTGCAATAGTGCAAGGATTCCCGCATTGGCTGCCGTGTCGCCGAAACGCGCCAAAGGTCCTGTGAATCAAACAGAATTAGTTAAATCCACCAGAAAACGGTAGGCCCAGGCAAGCTCAAGTTGATTGACTGACCTTGGAAGAGGGCCGCACCGATACCCGCATAGTATCTGCCGAAACCCCCATCATTATAGAGAATTTTGGTTGCTTCGGTGAAGGGGTGGCCGAAGCGATACTGGTAGTTCATAATGGTGCGGAGTGGCTACGAGAGGAATTAGTATATGCATTTCAAACATGGGCCTGAGAAAAACGATAACGTGGGTGAAGAATACCATCAAAAGTAGAACTTGAAGAAACATTGCGGCAGCGCCACTCAGGCCGCCCCCGAGAGCCCTTCTGAGAGCTTCA